CTCTACCATCATATAGGGAGAGGCCACAGGTGAAATCATACTATAAATTAGTGAACAATAGTTTATAGGTTAAAGACTGACCCTAAGTTGAACAAGGTATTTACTCTCCAAATTCTACATCAATTTCTACTGATTTACTGCTTCTTCTTTTACTATCATTATTTGCCAGTTAAAATGGGAAAAGAGGGTCTATCCATTTAAATAATAATATCCTTTTTAAAAAGGAAAAAAAAAACCCCAAGAACATATTCCCCCAAAACCTTTAAGAACTTACTGAGCTACAGCAGGTTCAAAGGATAGTCATAAACGTGACAGAACTAAACTCTTCTTGGTGGTGGCAGGTGATAGAAGGAGTGGTAGTGACCATGCACTTCAGCCCAGGAGATTCAGGATGGGTGATAGGAAAAGACTCTTCATGGAAAGGTGGTGGAGAACAGGAACATGTTGCTGAGAGACACAGTAGTCTCCATCCTCAAAGGTTTTCAAGACTTCTTGTTGCTGTTCTGATCTATGGTTAGTGATAGTCCTGTTTTGAGCAGGAGATTAGACCAAGTAACATCCAGAAGCCCCTTTCAAATAACGTTACTAGGATTCATTGTGCTGTAACTTTTTTAAAACTTCCCATTCATTGAGTTGGCCTGCTTATATTAAACATAAAATGTTTTGAATGCATCACAAAAATATACTTGCTGAAATCAGATGAACTTCAGAAGTGAAAAATCCCCTGTGAATTTTAATGATATGTAAACATTTTTATTAATTATAGAACTACTGACAAAACTGTTATGTACTAGCCTCTGAAGCATGTTATTGACCTGGAAAGCACTTTGATCGTGTTGTGCTATAAAATACTGTTATTAGCTGGATTGCACTTATAAAATCAGAGGAGAAATGCAGATGGATTCCATTCCATATGTATGAAATAATGAAAAATACAGAGAGAAATGGGACTCTTGTGTGCCTACCGTTATGAAGACTAAATACAGCTGCCTTATTCCTCTTACTTGCTCTAGGGACATCTTTACCTTTGAAATCTACTTAATGTCAGAACGCGTTTTTCTATTTGGAGCTGAAACTGCATATTCACAAAGAAAATGGACTTGGGCAATAGCGAAGGTAATAATGATTAAAATCTTTTCCAGTTAGGCCAGGAGCCTTTGCAGAAAGTATAAAGTGTCATTGTTAGCTTAAAATCTTCTGAGAAGCCATTCTTGATGAATACTGATCTATCTTGTGTGTAAAGGTTTCTTGCACTGCAGGAAGAAATAACTTCTGTGATTTAATATTTGAAACAAGATAATAAAATAAAATGGAAAAGGAATTGAAGCAACATTTTAATGCCAACCTTACGAGTATATTAAAGATGCTCTTGTATAAAGACATATAATATATGATTTTTTCAGCTCAGTTGTTTATGATTGCGATTCCGTTTTTCATTTGCTGAAGCAGAATACATAATGCAGTAGAGTATTTTAGAAAAAATCAAATAACAGTCACATTACTAATTAAACCAATTGTAGTTTAAAAATTAAAAATGTTTCACTGCACAGTATGCATGAAAAAATGTTATACTTGATTTTATAATTTAAATTTAGTGTATATATGGGTTTATGAATTATATATCTTAAAGTCTAGTTTTTTATATTGTAGCTTTCATCCCTGACTCTTATAGATTTGCAATATCTTGATTTGGTTTTTTTTAGGGGAAGAGGGTTTTTTTTCTTCACCTGACTCACCCCATTTTCTTTGGTAGCATTTTGTTCCTCCTGTGGCTGAATGCCTATTAGAGAGAGACTGTGACCTGATTGGCCAGCTGTACTACAAAGATTGCCATAACCTGGATCAGTGGAGAAAAGGCTGGTTTGCTATAGAGAAGTCAAGCCTTTATTTTTGTCTTGAAATGGATAATGCTGAAGAAGATTCCATATATCTAAGGAGGTTGCAAGAACTAAGTAAGAATTTTGTTTATCACCTAGAATTCAGGAAATACTCTATGGAATTAATTCACTATTAAGGACATATCTATTATATTTTAAAGTCATAAAGATTATGGAGCTCCATAACTATTCCTCTGCATGAGCCAGAAGCTTTTCCAGCTCCCTTCTAAATAAGGAGTTGGTAAAGTTCTGTCTTGGATTTTTTTTTTTTTTTTCCCCTACTTAGTGGCACATGCTAGAACGATTTTTCACAGCTTCATAATGAATGAAGGGAATTTTTGTTCCAGTTGCAGCAGTATCTTTCTTACAGGAGAACAGAATTGAATAATAATATATAACCTTTCGGGATTATTGTCTCATATTTTTGGCAGGGCAGAAATAATCACTGCAGAACATGTTCTTGAGATGATTGACAGGCCTCATTTTAAAATACTCAAATGCACTGGAAAAATTATAATTCTTTTGGAAAACTATTTCACAGACTAATAGACTTTTATTTTTTTCTGATACTAAAAATAGTCTTTGCTCAGTATCATGATGTGGAAAGATAAGAATATTTTTAAAAATGGTCTTCTATGACCAATTTTATATCATTGTCTGTAATTATACTCTGAATCCTCTTTAAGTGTATCTGCCCTACTTGGTTTTGTATTGAAAATGGCAGTATGTTATATAGGAAAGTAAAAATTTAAAATAATGTAGAAAAGATAATCTAGCTCTCTAATGATGAACCTCTTTGTAAATGCTGTCAGATTGTGGATTGTTTTGTGAGAACTTGCCTAAATGTCATTGGGCTTTCTACTTTTTATCTACTTTTTATTTACTACCACCTTACATTTTCTGTGAATAACACCGTGAAGGTGTTTTTTAATCAGGAATATTTTTATGCCTCTAGCTATCTTTTAACTTGTGAGTATTTTTTGATCTTGATTCAGAGTTAAAAGGTTAGGCAGTAGAACTGTTTCTGATACTAGTTTTGATAATTCAGCTGTAATTGCTTCTACACTAATCATATGAGCATCAAAAATCTGTGTGTATCTGAAGTATAGAAATTAAACACACGTTCAGCTTTTGGCTGAAAAAATCAGTTTTGATTTTTAACTATTAGTTGTGTAACAGAGTTGTACTTCATAGAAATATTATGCAACCCTACTTGTATCTTTTCTTTGGTTTCTGGTTTCCCCAAAATAAATCTGTTCCACCATTAAGACTGAATTGTATAACTAAAATTTGCAAAATAATGAATCTTTAGTGGAAGTATAGTCGCTCATGTTCTTAATATTTGACTCAGTAAATGTCAGTGAGACCAGGAGCATGATACAAAAACGTCATGGAACATGCATCAGAATGTTTACTGAGCTCCATTGATATTCAAGACTTCACAGTCTCTGGAAATTAGTTGAGATAAGATGTGTAGTATACATTATCTAAACTTTGAAAGAATTAACTTTTCAAGGGTTTGAATTACTGAACAAGTTACATTTAATTTACCAGTTTTAGTATAGTGCACAGTATAGTTTCATAAGAACTGTTACTGGAAACTATCCTGCAGTATTTTCTGTGTTATGTATAATGTAGGTATTTTGCAGGGTGCTTTTTTTAGCAGGAATTGCATAAGGCACCATAACAAAGGGTGGCAGTGATCTTCACAGTATTAGATATAACTCAGGTTATGTTATTGTAAATATATACAGCCATTAGGGTACAAGTAAATTAATGGATTCAAAAATCCAGCTTACTTCTGAATCATTATTACTATTGTATTTACTAGTTTAATTTTAATATACTAGTTTAATATACTAGGACACTATAGCATGTAGTCACAAAGCACTTCTTCAACCTCTAATTATTTTCTGTATTAATTTTTCTTATAAACGTGAGTGTATTGTGGTATAGCATTGTTTATTTGAAATGTTTAAGAATTCCATGCTTCTTTTGTCACTGAAGATCATTTTGAAAAAAATTGTGCATGCACGTATGTGGTTGTCCATAAGCATGTGTTTGTGTTAGATCACAGGAATGTGTATGTGTTTTGTTTTCAGCAGTCAGTAGTGTGATGCAAAATGGAGAGAAAATAGATGTCCTGCTGCTCGTTGAAAAGGGAAGGTAAGGTTCCCATCTGAATAAAGCTTTGATTTGCTTTTAGATTGATGTCTTAGAATACTTGCTGATCAGTCATGGAGCTTTTTCACTTGTGGTTTCTAGAGAGAAAGTAAATTTGCAGACTTTTTAAAGGAGGGAAAGTCTTTGTGTATTAATTGTGTTTTATGTCTGTGTCAGGAAATCCTAACAAGTACTGCTTAATTAAAAGCAGTTTTCCCACTGAGAAAATTATTCCCAGTCAGATTAGTCTGCCAATAATGGTTTCTCTAAAAGGACTTAACTACTTTTATCCTGGAAAGAAAGAGTACTTCTTTGGAACATTTACCACTTCTCATTTTTTTTATCACTCTCATGTCCCAGAATTCTGTGTCTCAATCTGTATAGGTCAGGATTGAAAGAGTATGTGTGAGTCTCTTGGTTAGTCGTACTGTAACGTCTGATCTTTTAACAACACACTAGCTAGAAAAAAATGCTTGTGAAACAAACACGATAAATATCTGCTTCCAAATAGGTAATATTCTGCTGAGATAATTCTGTCAAATATAGTGATATGGGAGATTAAAACTTAAGTGAGATAGGGTATTTCTGCCACACAGGTACAAATTTAAAGACAAAAGTAAAATTACTGAAAATAATTCTTAATTTAAAATACATTAGTTTTTTTTTTTTATTATTATTTCTATTATAGTTTACTTGGCATATGGTTCACCTGTATAAAACGAAGTGGAGTGTTTACACAGTCTTCTGAATAACCCATGATAAATGAAAAAAAAAAAAAAAAATCTTATTTTATTAACCTATTTTTTGGGGGAACAAAAAGAAGAAACCCAACAGCCACACAGATACTTTTGAAATCTATTCAGAGTTGGACAAACTTGAAAAAACTCATTGCAACTTATGTGTTCCAAATTCTATCTCTTCCTAAGATACAGCTGAAGTTCCATAATTAAGTAAGATGATGCAGATCAGAAACAAACACTTTTTCCTAGTGTGGTGTTTTGTTGTATGGTCTTTTGTGGTTTGTTTTTTTTGTTTGTTTGTTTTTCTGTTTTGGTTTTTGTTTTTGCTTTTAGAAGCATATTGTAAGATTCAGCATTAATTAAGGTGAATAGACCGACCAGGGAACCAGAGGTAACCCATTATCCCATTCAAGGTGCAGTCCAATAGATGAATACAAACTGTGTATCTGTTTTCAAAGATATCAGTGCTGAGCAAAACTTTTAGCTCCAGGTCAGCTTTTATTATTTCTTTCATTGTAATATTTGTGTCAAGTTGCAAGTAGGTTTTCCCTGAACTGCTTTAATAGTTTAATGGAAGTTCTGAACTATTTGAAAATAATTTCAACAGGGGCACTGGCTGTTTTATAGTGGCCATAAATATGTTTAATTTTTCTTCACTGAAGTCTGTCATAAGAATTTAAATGCATAGTGTTCACATTATCTAACCATTAAAAGCCATATGGGTACTTAAGCTTTGGTGTAGTGATTCTTGCTTAGGATATTACTCTAAAGTATCCAGGTGTTCAGTACAGTTGTATGATATTGCAACTTGCAGTGATAAGAAATTTAATGTGTGTGTGGGAAAATGATGAGGTATAACATCACCTTTACCTTTAGACTCAATTATTGTAAATGGAAACAAAACCAGCAGTCCTCCTTCTGCCCCTCCAAACCCTATGTAAATTAATCAAAACCTTTGAGACATTATCAGCATCATCTAAATGATATCGTTTCTAGGTTTTCCTATTTTGTCTGTTATTTTATAGCAGTGCTTGTCTAATGGCAACTTTGGCATAGGTTTTTGATCACTTGGGAGAGCCCTTGTTGTACTGATCTGTTGAAAACTTTCATGTTAATCAGTGAGTTGCTTAAACACAGGATAAATTATAAAATCCCCCAAAAAACACTATTGCAAGAATAAAACAAAACAAATAAAAGTTTTCCAGAATTAAGAAAAGTTTGGGAAAGAAAAACCAACGAAACAACCCAAAACAAATCCCCCCCAAAAAACAACCCTCCCACCCCCCCGTTCTTTGCATGAAGAAACAGCGGTGGTTGATTTCTTGCTACATCTTGGAAAATGTTATTAGAAGAAATTGTGAAAATACTTTGAGTATT